GCTTGGGGATCAACCCTTTGGAGAATAGTTACAGTACAATAGATGGATATGGAATATGTGCAAGGACTACTGGAATGGCCCTGGATTATGATTGTGGATGGTGTGATTTTAAAAGTTAATGTAATGTTTTTAAATATTTAATGTGCTTTAATTTTAATTTTAATGTTTATTTTAATTGTTTGTAGTTTTTAAGGCATTGAATAGTTGCCTATATGCAAAGCTTCATTGAGTCCCCTTCGGAATTGAGAAGGGCAGGGTATAAATATGGGAAATAAATAAATAAATAATGCAAGGCTGGAGCCTTCCTCATCTGTAAGCTAGATAAACACAGATCTATGTGCTTCTTCTCATCTCAGAATACTTACTAGGAGATGTTAGAATATGCCCTTCTTGTGAGCTAAACATTGCACTTTTCTTTTTGCTCGTGTGCCAGAAATCCATTTCTTGAATAAACACTTCACACATTGACATTCTTAAAAGTTACTAAATATGATAAATAAATAAAAGAGTATACAACCTTTCAGAAACTATTAAACATCTCACTTCTGACAAATGAACAGCCAGACACTTTATGGAATCTCTAGGTCATACATACCATTTCCTTTGTCTTCACTATGTGTGAAAGATTAATTTTCCATTTTAGCATTTCTGTTAAACAACTGGACATTTGGGTTGTACTGTTTTCAAAATATTCATTTTGGGCTCTCTTCAACATTTAATTTTGCAAAACATCCCTCCCTTCCTCCCTGAGTTTTAAAATGTCACAGAGTGGTTGTATATTCAACTATTTCCCATATCAAACAGTGAATCCGTATTCAGTGAAACTCCAAGACATGTAATCATGAGACAGACACTTTGTGGCACATAGTCACTTCAAAAAGAAAAATCTAACCACATTAATCACATTAATTGTGCTCCAGCTAATCCATCACTGCAGCTTGCAGTCACTCACTTGTCTATTCACCCAATACATTGCTATTTTACCCATGATTAGCAGAATGTAACTAATCTCTTATTTATTTGGTTTACTGAAGCACTGTTTCTCACCCTTTGCTAAAATGTGTGTGTTTGACACTGAAACATTTCAGTAGATGCATTCGAAATAAAACGTTCATACCATATATCCTTTAAGAAGGAAAAGCAACTGGGCCAAATGTTTTCGCACACTAAATGTATTCAGCATTTCCAGTGATCTGTAAAGTGAAAGATGCAGGCCTGTATGTTCTTATTGACTAGTTAGACCTTGCTCCTAAAATTAAACATCAAAGATTGCAGAAAGTATAGCTGTACAAGGAAAACCAAAGACAGGAATAATCTTTTTAAGTCAGTAGGAAACCTAACATACATATCACTTAAAGAGGGTACTATTAATCATAGATTCTTATCAACAAAAGTTTATGCTAGTTTTTTCCTTTTTCTTTAAATAGCCACAACATTCTTTATTATTTTTATTGTCTGGAAAGGTCTTCAATAGTATGTTTTCTTTAAAAAGCTGCAAAGGAGGTGACTAGAGACCAAAAGACAAATTCTGTGGAATCTAAAGTACATCATTTTTTTGTGCATCATTTTGAAAGAAAGTGGCCATGTTGTCTTTAGGTGATAGTGAAAATCAGCATTATGCACACTACTTTTCAACTTACAACCACATATTTGTCCCTTCGGGGGAGAGAGGGAGGGTTCTAAATAAAGTGTTATTATATCTTTGTCCCATCTGTCTACACCAAAATTTAATTTCTAACATATAAAGTTTCTATTGTGTAAAACCCACCTTCCCGTGGTCTTTTCACTATACAGTCACTTCTTCAAGAAAATTGAATTTATTTCTTTTGGGTCACACTAACATTTTGGGATGAGAATGGGTTATTTTGGACGATTTCACTGTTGCCCCAAGCCTAGTTAAACACAGCAATGATGTCTTTGGTGGGTGATCTTTACTAAAAGCTACACCAAAGGTGGGTGATCTTTACTAAAAGCTACACCATGTTAGTCCTGTCATTTTGTTAGAATAAACTGTGGTATTTTTCTGGGCTGCCTCACTGGAATAGCACTTGGAGACACTGCTTTACTTTTGGTCTGTACACTTCTAGGTACAAGAGCACAATAACATATGGGGATCATTCAACTTTTGGCCATTGTGCGAAGTCTCCCAGGGTTCTCTTTCTTTCTCATTGAAGTGATATTATACAAAAAAACTGGGGGAAGTTTCCAGGGTTATGTGGTCCAGTGTCACCAGTATTACAACAGCTTCCATTTCTTCTTCCCACTGAAATCCAATGAATCTTTTGCAATTCTCAATGAGTGCCTGCTTTCAGTAATGGATTGGATAGAAATAGGAAAAAAAATGAAACTTGAGCTGAAAGGGACTATCCAAAAGCAAGAAACAAGAAACCAACCTGTGTAGCTTGAGGTTGCATTTTTTCCTGAAGAAGCAAGCATATTTTGAATTCAGACCTGAACCTGCATGTCCAGCCTTCTGCAATGGTCAAGATTCCATTTGCAAAGTAAAAAACTCATGCTTCAGCTACTCCTGAGGCAGGCATGTAACTGGGGGGGGGGGGCTTTGGGGGCTTCAGCCCCCACCCGAAATTCTCATGGTGGTCTGTGAAAAGGCCTTACTGGTACATTATTTAAACTGTTACGTTTATTCATATCATGATCTGATCACCATGCTCAATATATCTCATATGCATGGGGATATTGGGGTAACGATACAAAAGGTTTGCTAGGGTCAACCCTCTTTCACTCAGACTCAGCCCCCCCCCCCTCCGAATCAAAATCCTGGCTATGGGCCTGTCCTGAAGGAATCTGATTTGATCATGATAACACATGCCTTATTGACATCCCATTTGGATTACTGTAATGTGCTCTGCTCTATGTAGGGATGCCTTTGAAAACTACCCGGAAACTTCAACTGCTGCAAAACTATTGATGGCAGTTGATTACAGGGTTCATATAGCTCTCTTGTTGAAACAGTTGCATTGGGAATTGATTTGTTTCTGGACAGAATCTAAAATGCTAGTTATAAGCTATAAAATCTTGTTCAGTCCTTTTCAATCTATCCAGTGCACTGCATATTCCTATACGAGGCTGTTTGGGCTCTAGGTTCTTCAGTGATGTCTTTTCTCTTGGCAAGAATGTTTGGTGGGAACATAGAAGATGCCCATTTTGGTGGCTGCTCCCAAGTTTGGTTGTCATTAGAAAAAAAAATGTTTCTATCCCAACAGGCTTTTGGGAAATGTGCATAGATTTATCTCTCACTTTTTAATGTTATGTTTTAAATAGTTGGCATTCCGTAGATAGTTTGATCACATTTGTTTTTCTAAAAATGAACTTTTTAATGTTTGAATTTATTTTGTTGCACATGGTTTTTGTCTATATTTGTTTCATTGTTCCGTATTACCCAAATCCCAGTTTTAAGAAAAAAGATGGGTGATAAGTGAAATCACAAATGTTGCCCTTTTTGCTATTATCATTATTCTTGTTATTTATTGGTTTTACAGTTTACCGTGTACTGCTAACTTTATCAATAATTCATATGCTATTTAATAATCCAGGTAAAGGTGAAATTGCCTAAAATAGTGATGAACAGCAGAAATAAAGACAAAGAGAATGGAAAAAGAATACAAATAATTAAGAACTGCACGTTGAGATTCAGTACCTTTGAGAAAGGAAAACATTCATAATTCCAGTGATACCTGTTCTGGGAGGAATTCAAAAGGACCGACAAAATATGAAATTGCCCAAGGTAGAAACACAATAAAAACCAACATGGTGTAGTCATTTGAGTGTTGGGCTACAACTTTGAAAACCTGCATTCAATTACCCACTTAGCATTAGAAACCCACAATGACCTTGTGTAAGTCACACAGTTTCAGCCCTAGAATACACTGTAAGAGGTTTGCTTTAAAGTCACCATAAGTTGGAAATGACTTGAGGGAACATAATAACAACAGCAGCAGCAGGAGGAGCAGCAACAAAGATCACAATAGAGCTTTAAAAATGTTATTATGTTATTATGTGGAATGTGGCTCCTCCTCCTCTGCAACTTCTCATGGTGGACAGAAGGCATCTATGTTTTGAAATGGCCAATGATGCATTGATTCTATCTCTCACAATTATTATGCTTTAAGCTTCTCCCCAACAATTTGTAGAAGAGTAAGAGAATGTAGAGACAACTTATTATTTTCTCATTCATTGCTCACACAAGCTATAAATATGTAACACTTACGGAGCATGCAAGCTAAGCCAGATTCCATTCAAAGCCATTAATGAGGCATTAGCAATCTAGTAGACAGATTTATAAAAAGGACAACTAGCATTCTAAGTTATTTATAAAAGCATGTCCTATTGTGCTTCCGAGAATTCAACAAAAGTACAATTAAAAACTGGCAAGCAAATGTGTCATTTCCATTAGATATGGAAAAAATGAATTTTAAAGAAAAAATAATTTTCCACTGTTATTATAACCAGTTCTTCAAGTAAGCCACAATGTTAAGGAAATTGCAAAAAAAGAAGAAGAAACAAACCAGAAGTTGCGTAAGAAAAAACAAAGTCTTCAAAAGCTCAGACCCTATGAAGTCTTACATTAGTACTGAATTACAAAGAGTGCAATGGCTTCATTGCAAAGTTAATTTAACACATTAAAGTAATGTTTAAGTAAGCACATAATTAATAGGTTAATAACATCTTTTCCTTCTTCCTTATACAGTGTGAAGCTGAAAAAATACAAGAGTTATGTGCATCTGTTTTCAGTCTAGGGGAGAAGACTCACAAGAGTATGAAAAGTCCTGGCTAATTTATTTTACTCCTCTTGGTAGTATTGTGTTAATTTCAGGAAGAACTAATTTTTTTTTAGGATTAATAGTATACCATTTATTTGTATTGATTATACAGAAATCTCAAATGAACTGTGATAAAAAATAATTTGCCCTCACTACTGTCACCAGAAAAGTGTTGAGAACATTGATTGGAAAGATCTGTATTATGTTTATTTCACTCACCTTTTATGCGTTTCTGCTAGGGATGTCTCTTCCATTTCATGGTCAATTTTAGCTGGACAATAAAAGAGAAAATAACATTATACACAACAATGCATGTATCTTTGACTACATTATGTACTAGTGTTCACATTGTACAATTCTGGAAAAATATTGTATGTTGATTTTTCAGTGAGAACTAAAATCATGTACTTGGGGTTAATATGAAAATTATGAAATACACAAAACATCAATGCAAGGAAATGTATAATACTGAAGCAAAGTTCTCAGCATGAAAAATACATGAATCCATAGTAAGGGAGCACTTTCACTGAAGCAGCAATTGTGCAAATCTTCACAATAGATGTCAAGAATGTTTTTTTTAAAACTAAACACTTTTTATAACACTATGGGGGCTTTTCTTGCCCATGACATTACATCTCAACTTTTCTTTTGTCTCGATATACCTGTTCCCATGTTAATCATCACATTTGTTTGTCACAAGACCCAAAAATCCCTACCCCCATCTACTCATCACTTGAGGACAATCAATTATTTGTCCTGCCAATATTTGGAACTGCTATGGGAAGCCAGAAAGGGATAATGGAGAACAATAATACTGTGTGATCCGATACTCAAAAAAATATGATCAATGCCAGAATAGGTTTTCTACTTCTGCTACATACAGGCAGTCCCTGTGTTACAAATGACTCACAGTTAAGAATGAGGGTGAAACAACAGGATGTGAGAAAAATCTACACCTAGAAAGGAAAATTCACTCCTGAAAGAGTTATCATGGGGAAAAGGTGTCTCCATTGAAGCTTTCTCACCAATACTGCACAACAAGACTTTTTTTTCAAAATCAATTTACCACAGGGACAGAAGGTGAAATCTTCTAAACAGGAGCACAGACAGCAAAACAAACACAAAGGTGTTAATCCTTCCCTATGCTAACCAAGGCTTATATACATATAGACATATAGATATATGGCTGGAGTTACACTGAACAATGATGTAGAGAAGCTGAAGTACTCTAGCTTCTAATGATGGTGAAACCAAATACTCAATTAATTTATGTTTTTAATTTAGCGTAACAACATTACTGAGAAATTGTTTGCTAATGGTTCAATAGGCAAAGACAGGCTGAAAACTTGTAAACCAGAAATTGTTAACAGATTTTTTATTGCTCTGCTTTGCTTAAGCGTGGAAAATTAAATCAAAGAAATAATAGAAATTCCCACAGCAAAAAATCTACAAAAATTATATAAAACAAAGGTGAGGAATCTATGACCTGCCAGTTGTGGGAGAGCTTTGTCATTCATAATCCTGAAACAATGGCCAAGATAACTGAGGCTGATGATAATGTGTCACTAAGGTTGACATCGCCTGGTGCGGCAGCTCATGGTATCACCCCATGAATCTTTTCCAGTTCATGTTGCTGCAGTGCTGATCAACCAACTTCACCAACAACTTTCCTCAGACAACAGCTAAACAATCCTCATTTCTAAGAAAAAGACATTTTTACGCCTATTCCTAACACTTGGGAACAAACAACTCCACAGAATAGCACAAGGTAATGTGCCTTAGGGACTGGGATAACTAAATATATGGTACTTGCTTGCCCACAGAAAAATCCTTGTGGACTTCATTACTACAATTATTCTGCACAGGGAAGGACATAACATGTCAAAGCAGACAGTGGACTCCATCATCCTTTACCATCAGGTTTATGGGAATCACAATCCAACATTATCCGGAGGCCTAAATATTGCTTACTTGATGAGGCTATTGATCTATAATGTGTGAAGGTGGCTGGCTATACATGAAGGTATAGCACATGCCCCTCCCCTAAAGAGGATGAGGGAGATTGCCTTGTAGGAATCTGGGAGCTGCCTTTTCTTGGTCAATTTTAATTCCTTTGAAATAAAGAATCCACTGCAATGTAACTGGAAACTTAAAACACAGGCACTAATCAAGGGAAAGGTCAATGCTGAAGCAGTTGGATGGACTTTTATATCAACTAGGGCTGTGCAAAAATTTTGTATGAGGCTCATTTGTCATATCAATTTCATAAGATTCATACATATGACTCAATATTAAGAAATGTGAGGGGTGCCCATGCAAAAAACTTAAGATTCAAAACACTGACCTATGACCTTTTATGAGAACTGAATCTCTCCAGGTCTCCAACGCAGGTGCTGCCTCTCCCCTCAAAAAGCTAGGTTTGATTCCCCTAAAGGGCCCTAAGTAGGATGGCGAGTCTGGAGTGGAGGAGAAGCTCCACTCCTTCACCAAAGGAGGTGGCAATGGGGGCCTGTGCCAGGCAAGGAAGAAGTCCCTCCGACACATGGGCAGCCCAGGGAGAGACAGATAAATACCACCACATTGAAGCTTTAATGTGGGAAGTGAGCAGTATTCTGGGAAATGTAATTTAGGGTGGGGCCTTTTGAATTCTCTGCCATAGGAGTCCTCACCTTACCAAACTACATTTTCCAGAATTCTGCTTATTGCTTTGTGCCCCCACTACTCCCTGGAAATTTTGGTGTGCATTCTCTAAAGCAGTGGTTCACAACCTCTTAACAGCTGGAAAACTAACTAGGATTTCTAGGAGTTGTAGGCCAAAACACCTGGGGACCCACAGATTGAGAACCACTACTCTAAAGGGATTTTGAGATAAAAGGGGATTGTTGGGAGTTGAATCAACCCTATGTGGTAGGCAAAGTTGAGAGGCAGTAACTTCAAAGTTTAGCTAGTAAATTCCTATTTGGGGAGAGGAAGCAGGATATAATTAAAGCTCATTATTATTCTCATTATTTCAAAAGCTTTATGGGAATCTGTTGGGAGTGCTTTGACTGTTCTTTTCTTGCCATGCAGACGGGGTTGGCCTGGGTTTTCCAGTGAAACAGTACTGTTAAGTTTATGTTGGTTAAAATTCCCTAAAAATGAGTAGATGTGTAAATCTTTCTGAAACTTGCTGGGACCGATGCTCTGGTTATGTTGTATCATTAAAAATAGAAATTCATGGAGATTGCTCTGGCAGTTTTTTTTAAAAAAAATGTTGTTCATTAAAGTTTTTAAAAATCCCCCAAAATCAGTGGATGTGTGAAACACTCTGAAACTTTGGGGGGGGGAGCAGTGGTAAATGTGCTCTACAATTGTAGCAAGTTTCATCTTGAGGGAGAAAGGAGCCCCGGAAGTTTCATAATGCACAATTACATAATGAAAAAGTAACAAACATTTCGTTATAACATTATTATGATAAGGACTCTTTAAGATAATTTAGAAACACTTTAGAAATTATCCCCCTCCCTTATTTAGTAATGAGTATTGAAAAGTTTTTTTCATTGATAGCACAGGATTGGAAATATTTCCATAAACTGTGGGCTAAAAAAACCACAATCATACACCCTTGCCCATGCTGCATTGTGATGATGGGCATCATAGATCAAATTTTTATTTTATGTCTGTTTATGAAGCCATCATTCTCCCAACCCTGTTATATGCCTGAGAAATGTGGACTGCCTATAGACAGAACACTGAACTCCTGGAATGATTCCATCAGCATTGCCTCTGAAAAATCCTGCAGATCTCTTGGGAAGACAGGCAGACAAATGTCAGCATTCTGGAAGAAGCAAAGACCACCAGCACTGAAGTGATGCTTCTCCTCCATCAATTCCGCTGGACTGGCCTCATTGTCTGAATGCCAAATCACTGTCTCCCAAAGCAGTTACTGTACTCCAAACTCAAGAATGGGAAATGTAATGTTAGCGGACAGGAAAAGAGATTTAAAGATGGGCTTAAAGCTAACAGTAAAAACTGCAGCATAGACACTGAGAACCAGGAAACCCTGGCTCTTGAACACTCTATCTGGAGGTCAGCTGTGACCAGCAGTGCTGGTGAATTTGAAGAGGCATGAATGGAGGGAGAAACATGCCAAGAGGAAGGTGCATCAAGCCAACCCTGACTGGTACCGTCTTCCACGTGGAAACCAATGCCCTCACTGTGGAAGAACATGCGGCTCAAGATTAGGGCTCTACAGCCACCTACATATCCACCACCAAGAGACATCGCTTGGAGGGCCATCATACTCAGACAATGAGGGATCGCCTAAGTAAAGTAAGTAAGATCAAAATATCTGGAAAGAAAAGTAAAGGGTTAACTTAAGGATTTATTCACAGGAATACATGTGAGTAGAGGAGGGAGAACAGAAAAGGTAAACAAATGAAATGAAAAGGATCCAAACTAACTTTCACTCTGTAGCTTTGACCTTGCACCCTTGTTTGATTTCTCTCTAGGACATGTAGGGCCACAAACATGCACCAGCCCAGCGTATTTAAAATAGCAAAGGGCTGTTGCCTGATAACTCCTGAGATTTCTAAATAATTGGCACTCTTGGTTTCACTCAACCAGGTCTCTGACAGATAATACTTGCATTGTCTATCTACTGGTCTGAAAGAGGAAAATATTCACTTCTAACTTTCCAAAGGTTTAAGGTTTTGGAGAAAAGTGACAATTTGAGATACATTTGGAATCTATGAAACATTTAAGATATTTGCTTTTGAATGCCAAACCTGTGATGGTTCCTGGGGGCAGGTTCCCTATTTACCACAAATTTGGAGTTTTTAGGCTAACTGGAGAAAAATCACTATGGGAATCAAAAGCTGTTTGAAACTTTGTATCCTTAAACTTCTCTTTTAGCATTTTTTCTTAGTTTTGCTCTTGACCCAGTGATAACTGCTTGCTGTTACTGTTTCTGGCCACTGTCTAGTCTGAAGACTTTTCAGTAATTCAAGAAATTTTAGCTGAATCAGAACCAAACTACTGTAAGGGAATATCATAACTTCTCAGTGTATTCACATTTGAGAAATCTATGATGGAAGATGACAATAATTTTTCATCCTCTTGTCTAAACACTGCATTTTCTTTTGTATGCATATAATGCACAGTCCCCCCCCCCCCATGGGCACAATGTTTGTAGGCATTTCCTCTTCACGTTTTTCATTTAGAGTGTAATGGAGATATTTCTCTAATTTCCAAAGACTCCACTTATGAATCACTTCCACATGTTGCCACTTT